CATAGTCACTGCCCCAGCCAACTTCCCCGGGGATATCAAGAAAAGGGAAATAACGACCCACCTCCAAGAGCCCACACCGTCGAAGACACTGTTGTTCCAGCACCTGCACCCCCCTTAAAACGGTAACATTCTAGCGCATTTCTGCCCTGGAGAAGGCATCAGAGCTCCGCCTCCTCCCCCCCCCCCCTTGCCCCCCCAACTTTTCTCCTCCCATCTTCCGATTTGCCCCATTCTTGGTCTTGATGAACCCCCACACTCTGGACAAGACCACCGACGTCGGACGTAGAACTAACTGTTTAGGCGCGAGCCGATGGAACGGCAGACTCAGATGTGCTTTGCCGTCTTCGAACCTCAGTGAGCCGAGCTTCGCGTGCCCGGCAATTCGACATTCGCTTGCTTGCACTTTCGCTTACATGGACCTCCATTATATGGAGTAACCGTAATGAGCGCATGATTTTGCAGGCCTTGATCAGTATTCGAATACATCTGGCCTTCGGCTGTTGGGACCGGACGTTCCGGCTACACCGGCCTGACCGGCAAGGGGGCTGCTTGCCTGACAATCCACATACCCACACATCAATCATGTCATCAGGTAATAGAGGGAGGGAGAGAGAGTCCTTGCCGCGCCAATCGCTGGAAAGCCCCTGGAAAGCCCCTGGAAAGCCCGCTTTGAGATACGTACCTGCCTTGACATGCATGCCGTACCACACCGCGTCCTCAGCTTCCTGGTAGCCCCGGGTTTGCCTCGGAGTCTCAGCTGCTGTTGTGCACCGCTTCGGTCCTCAACTCGGGGGCCTTCAGTGCAAGCCTGACTGTACCGGCCCGGGCCCCATTGAATCGCCCATGTCCTCACTTGTGCATTGCTCAGTTTACGTTGCAAATAACACCGAGCCAGATGCCTGTGTATTCGTGTGCTCGTCCCAGCATGTTACAATTCGTCATCGGTGCTTTTAGCCAAGGTCCATCGTATCCCACTCGAAATCACCACCAGCGGACAGCCCGCTGAAAATGTCATCAGCCCCCAGATCCAATGAGCCGCCGTTGCCAGTGGAATCGCCCAAATCCAGGTCGCCGCCTACGCCGCCCATGCCAAGGTCCAGGCCGACGCTATCGACCGTCATGGCACCGCCAGTCGGGCCCCGCGTTGGCAGACCGCGGCCGCCATGGCCTCACTCAAAGACCCCTGGCCGCATCGTCCCAAACCCAGACCCAGGGTCGCCCTGCAGGATGGCCCTCCGCGTGGATCGCTTCAGCTTCAGACACGGCCATCTGGGCTTCGACGCGCCGATGGAGCCGCACGACCAACTCAGCCTGGCTCATGTCGGTCCTCTGTAGTCGCCTGCAGTCTTCCGCCTCGGCCTTTCAGCACGTCCCGCAGCGTCAGTCTCCTCTGCACGGGCGTCGGCATATTGCCCGAATCCTCAAAAAAGGTCAACCCTGGCGTTTGAGGGTTGTTTGTGACTTCCGGAGCACAAACGAGTGCCGTAGCCACATCGTACACAACACTGCCGCCGCCGGCTTCTGTTTGCTGCTTGACCTCCTCACAGATTAAGCGAAGCACCCGCTTCGCTCCCAGTAGCCGGAGCGCAGCCAAGACCTGGCGATGCGAGTACGATGTGGGCGTGATGTTGATGCCCGGGTGCAGACTCCACTGCACAAAACCTTGCATCGTGTGTCGCAAGGCCGTCGCAAGGCCTTCACCCTGCGTACTCGTCCACGTCTCCAGCTCGTTGTGGTCTGCTCCGCCTGTGCGACGTGACAGTGGAATGTTGTCTTTCAACACGCTGAGGAGAAGATCAATCTTTTGGTCCTTGGGGTCCTGCCGTTGAGAAGCCCTGAGCGAGTGCTCCAAAGGCTTGGCCACAATGTTGAGAACTGACGAGAGCATGGTTTTTGCTTCTTCGGAAATCGCGCTGGGCTGCAACACCAGGTGGAGAACCCTGATGATGGTGTTTTGGTTGTGCCGTTCGACCCACAGCGAGTTTGCCAGGTAGGTAATCGCAGTAACCAGTGAAGGGAGTAGAAACGTGTCCACGAGGTCTGGCGAGCGTGTTAGCAAATGCGACTCGAGAGCTGCGCGGTGCTGGCCTACATTCAACACCACCTTTCAGACTCTCTTCTGAAAGGTGACCGGTGGCAAAAGCTGTCACAACATTTTGGAACAAGGTCGGGATTAGGAGGTAGAACTCTTGTGGTGGACAAGATGATATCAAGTCGTCCGTCAGGCCACCAGCTTCTTGGTCGAAAAGACCATGGATCCATCCACCCAGATGGCTCTTCTCCAGATCCGAAAGCTCCTCGGAGGATCGACTCAGGTGGCCCTGACTGAGGAATTTCGCCACAAAAGAATCCGGAGATCGTGCACCAATATCGGATGCCGTAAGGTTGTAGCGGTAGGCAAAGGCGAGTAGGAGAAGCAGCACGGATCCAAATTCTTCGTAAACAGGCTGGTACTCGCCTTGATCTTCGTCGTACTTCCAGTCGTCGAGTAAATCGCACAATGGCTGCAGAATGGCAGTTGGCTTTTCGAAAAGAAGTATTACGTCCAGTGACAGTGGCCTGCGAGACAGTTGACTGCAGAGGTTCTTTAATGACATCGTCTCCTTGTTGCGGCATAATTGAGCCAAGACCTGCGGGTAAGTGTCAGCGTCATCTGTGCATCGTTCCAATCCGCACAACAAGCCTACCTCTGTCAAAGCGTGGCAGACAGCACCCACGTTCCCATCCATGTTATCTAGCTCCTTAACGAGAGCCTGCATGCGCTCCGGGTCGTCCAGACACTCTGCGACGAGTGTGTCTTTGACATATTTGCCTCGGGAGGGTAGTGACTGGTAGGGCGTTTCGCCCAGTATCGTTTCTATGCTGCTTTCTCGTAGCAAGCCGTGCAAGCAGCATGCCCAGCAGAACTCTTCCCGGACCGAGTCGGTGTAAGGATTATTGTTTCGACTCTCATCAAACATAGATGAGAGCGTAGGGAACGCATTGGTGTCGACGTGGCTCAGCGCTTCGGTGATGCAGTACTCGGCCGTCAACGGCGGGTACATGTGCTTGCTCAGGTTCGAAATGAGGATGGGGAGCTTGTTCATGAGATAGGACCTCAGCATATGTGCAGCTTTGTTCCCTTCGTTACCGAAGACCGCATTGGCCAACACGTCGAATGACGCCAGAATGAGATCGATAGTGGTGGATTGCACATCGCCCTGCCAGAGTCAGCTAAGATAGAAAAAAAGGTACTGGTAGAATTAACCTGATAGCGATTGTTCAGATAGTTGAAGATGGCTGTGTCGTCGATTAATGGGCGACCAACAAGCTACAACACACGAGGTCAGTACTGTGAAATGAATCGGAGTGATGGGTCCTTTTCATACAGCGGCGTTCAGGTAGATGTATAATCCCGCTCTTGAGTTGGCGACTGGCATTTCTGGAATGACGAAGTTGTTAAGCTCGACCCCAGAGTCGAAGAGCTGATCCAGCTCTGGAGCGGCAAGTGGCTTGCCTGCCTCCGCTGGCTCAAAACTGGCCAGTGTTCTCGTTCGAAAGTGGTCGAGCCGTGTTGTGACTGGACCAGCGTTGTGCATAATGGTAGGAACAAATGTTGCAAGACTTTCAGACATGGCCTTTCGAGTAGCTGTCGCGACTTCGTCAGCTCGGTCACGAAGAGTTGTCGACAGGAGACAAGGACAGATGCTCACCTGCAGCCTGTGGCCTGCTCAATGCTTTCAGCACCACCTGATTTTCGCAAACCCCGAGCAACAAGGCGACAAAGGCCGCGCGTGCACAATCCATCTCGTCCCGGGCTTGATTCGCCTGCATCTGCCCCATGGGATCAACTGCAAAGGCAGTGGACGCATCCGTAAATAGGGTCATCCATTTCGACATGATTCTGGCGATTTCTAAAGCGACCGCGGCATCCTGTATAGCTGCCCCTTGTGCCACAGCCTTGGTCAAGCGATAGAACATAACCTCCTCAGAACCATATGAGCTCCCCCATCGGATAAGACGAGTAGCCTCGCCATCTCCCTCTGGAGCCTGCCCTTCAGCAGGATGTGCTTGTGTATGCGATGTCGAATACCTGTAGAGGCCTTTCAGCACGGAAGGAATATCGATGTATCGCAGTTTCGAGAGGCTCTGAAGGTATTGCGGGATGCGGGGGTCGAGGAATTGTCGGTTGCCAGAGCGCGGGCGCAAGAATAAGTCGGCAATGATCACCGGCGGCAGCGGATGTTTTGAGTAGAGTATTGGGGCATAGGACTCGAATTGCTCGGGGTCTAGTCGCTTTGCCAGTGATTTTGCTATGAACTTCTGCCATCGAGAAAGCGCAATCTGCTGGGCGCTTCTCGAAGCGCGACCTTCCATGGTGACAACGCCGTGGAAGTGATATCGAAGTTGAGATAATAGACACTCTAGCCTATGCCGCAATTGATGTAGCCATTCGAAGATGCGCGACCGTGCTGCGCGAAGGATCTCTGGGGAGCGTGTGCGGAGAAAGGTCTGTGACAAGGTTGCCGCCAGTTGCTGGAGGTTGGATGTGAGGGCCGACTGAACGCGCCCAAGGCTCGGAAACCGCAATGCCTAGGTAGGTATCTGTCGAAGGCGAGGTGAAGTGAAGCTTTATGCAGGGGTCAAAAGCGCGCCGCTCAGGGTACCACTGACTTGCCTAGGCACCTACCTAGGTACACGCTAATAAATCAAAGCAGCGCGGTCCAAAGCCTATGTCCATGGCGTTGATTGGGTCGGTCCATAATCGTATGGACCCATAATTGAGGCCTGCACCTGCACCATCACCATCAAGGAGCAAAAGGTTGTGGCTTCTTCAATTCGCACGAAAAGCAATTCTAATTGCGACAGGATGTTGAACCTGAACCTTGTTGCTCGATGAGTGGGCATCATGTAGATTCGTCAGCGCCGAACACCTGGACTTTACTGGTTCCGGGCGGTGGCGTAGTCAATTTGTGGTTCCGCAACATGCAAGACTCGATCACACTGCGCGTCACATTGAGGTTGATATAAATTTCTTTTGCTCTTGCTTACAGCCTCTCTTGGTTGTCACGAACGAAGACCCGGCAGCCTGCAGCCACTTGGTTGCAGCGAGCATCGTTCATCCGCGCCTGAGTCTGAGCTGCTCGTTCCCCTCCTCCACCTACATGCCGAGACGCACTAGCATCTGACAGCAGCTCCAGCTTGGGGCTCAGAGCCGACAAGTCGCCATGGCGGCTTCAACCTCACGACCTTCTCGTCGAGCGCCGGATCATTGGCATCAGCACGTGCGTCTGACTGAGCTGCATCCGAACGCCGGTCACCACTACCTGGCTCCGTCCCGAATGGCCTCTCCACGGCTCGTCACTCGTCGCGTTGTCTTCACGTCTTCTCTCGCAGGCTGGAGCTTTCAAGCTACCAAAGAACCTGTTTGCCACGCTGCTCGCGGCGCTGACATGATTGATGCATGCCCACAAAGCCATATTAGAAACGCCGGGTGCAGGGGATTTATGTGTGTGTAGGGAATAGGGGGATGTTGCCGGCGATCGTTCTACCAAGGGTAGTGATATGCAATTACCGACAGCTGGGAAGGGTGTGTGTGTGTGTAGGGGAGGGAATAGTTGGGAGTCGCCGGAAACGTTGGTCATGTAGACTGCTTTACATGTCCATGGAGTCGCCACCGTTGGCAAAGCTGAAACCACCCTGCTGGGCAGGGGCGTTGGCACCGAAGCCAAAGGTGCCGTTGGGGCCGGTGCCTTGAGCCATGCCCTCATCGGCGTTCTCCTCCTCGTCGGCAAAGTACTTCTCAATAATGTTGTACGCCTTCATGTAGATCTCCTCGTTGGCGTTGGTCTGGCATTCGTGGATCTTCTCCATGCCACCGCACTCCTCGATAAACAGGGCGTAGCGGTTGATAGAGTCGGGGCCCTCGCCAGCAGCCTGCTTGTCAAGATCGCCAACCTTGAGAATGTTCTCGAGGCCGTCCAGCGCCACCTGGATGATCTTGTTATCGGGGCAAGCGAGAAGGTCGCAGAGGGGCTTGATGCAGCCCTGGGCCACGAGGTAGCGGATCTGCTCCGGCTTCTGGAGGCCACCAGACGTGGCGTTGCTTATGGCCCAGCACGCCTCCTTGCGGGTCTTGAGATCGCCGTTGGAGAGGAGGTGAATAAGAGGGGGGATGATGTTGGCGTCGATGACGGACTGGATCTGCGCCGAGTTGCCGGCCGTGACGTTCGAGATCGTCCAGCACGCCTCCTTGCGAATGCCGTCCTTGTTGGAGCTCAGCAGAGACAGAAGGCAGGGCAGCGCACCGCAGTTGATGATGACCTGGGTCTGAACATCGTCGCCAGTGACAATGTTGCCAACGGAGCGGAGAGCCGGAGTCTGGACCGAAGTCGAGGCATGCATGAGGAGCTCGACCAGGCGGCGGGGGATACCAGCCTCGATGACAGCCTGAATCTTATCGTTGGATCCATCGGAGAGGTAAGAAATGGCCCAGCAAGCGTCGATCAGGACCTCGTCATCGAGAGAGTAGACAAGCTTGGACAGCACGGGCAACGCAGGGGCGATCTGCAGAGGACGATCAGCAAAAGGCACCAATATGCGGCAGTTTCCTGGGACGCTGTTGTATCACTTACGGTGGCCCAGTCGGGCTGGGGGGTCTTGCCACGGCAGAAGTTGCTAAGAGTCCAGGTAGCGTTGCGGAGCATGCTGAGCTTGCGGCTGTCGCCGAGGAGAGCCAGCAAAGGCTTGAGCGCGGCGCAGCTGAGAACATAGTCACGGCAGTGGGGGCTGTCGCCGGCAATGTTGCCGAGAGCCCAGACAGCCTGCTCACGCACATCGGGCTCAGGGCTACCAAGAAGCTCGACAAAGATGGGGACGGCGCCGGCCTCGATGACGACCTGAGTCTGAGTGGCGGAACCGGAAGCAATGTTGGTGAGAGCCCAAGCGGCCTCGAACTGAACAAGGGTGTGGGGAGAGCGGAGGAAGGTCACAAAGCGGCTGACGACGCCGGTCTTGATGACCTCCTCGATCGGGGGGTTACGCTCCTTCGAAAGCAGCTTTCGGAACTTGGTCGTGGCCTGAATCTGGAGGTCAATCTGTTCGGAGAAGACACCCTCCACCATCTGAGGAAGGTCCTCGTTCAACTACCCATGGTCAGCACAGATGGTCTTGCCTATGGAGTACGTAACATAGGCAAGCAAAAGGTAGGACAGAGCAGTGACACCGATAACACATGTCGACGAGGACGCTGATGGTCGAAGACCCTGATTGTGCATGTGGGGCAGTGGGTGATGAGCAAGCCCCTGGCAACGGAGCATGCAAAATAAGACGAAGCGTGTTTGGCGGGGTCGACGAAGAAAGGGGGGGGCCTGTACCCAAGCTATGCCGCGCAACTGAGGCAGAGGGCAGATACAACGCAAAAAAAAGGTGGACAGGTGAGACAAGGCAGATGGGAGAATAAAGACAAAGGGAAACAGGGGTACGGAAGAACAGAGATCGAGAGATGCAACGAACCTGTGATTCGGTGGGGGCGGTATCATCGTCACTGTCGGGAGCGGCGCCGAGCGAGGCGCCGGGCCTGTTCTCGCCCGTGGCGATTCCTCTCCTCTTCGCAAGGTTCTCCTCTCGCTTGGCCTTGCGAATCTCAACCTGTTGCTCCTCACGACGGCGGCGGAGTTCCTCAGGCTTGAAGTTACTCTTCGCCTTGAAGTTGGTGCGGCGGTGCTCGGGGATGTAGCGGTCGGCCATGGTTCCGGTTGATGAAGGCTGTCACCTTTTGATGTGGTGGAGTCGCAGTAGAGGGCGGTCGAGGACCAAGATCGAGCGTGTGTTCGACTTGTGGTGGAAGGGAACGCAGCTGATTCGGAGTGCGTTGCGCAAAAGGTAGGGGAGAGAAGAAAAATTAAGAGTGAGGTCTCGAGGTCCGTATGTATCGCGGGGGGCGGTGGGTAAGGAAGGGCAGAGGTGAATAGATGTGGTGGGTTGGGTGTGATGATGTAGGGAGCGGGAAGGGAAGGGACGAGAGTGGGAAATTTATTCTGCGGGCGGTGGATGGAGGGAAAAGTTGGGGGGGTGAAGACACGGACGAGCAGGTGCAAAGTCCCTCCTGATAGTGCGCAACGAGCGAGTCCAGCGTAGCGGGGTCATGGTGGCTCGTGCTGTGTGTCTGGCACTGCGGGGACGGGCGATTTGGACGCCCGATTTCCAGGCCATCAGGTGAGGGGCAACATGGAGAGTAAGTACTGGCTTAACACGAGACAGCCTGGGTCGACTTCTTTGCACCCGTCGTTCAGAACAGCTACCCAGACGGGCACCCAGACAGGTACCTACCCAGAGACGGTCAAACGGCAGCTTTCCCTCAGCTGCTCGAAGCTGTCTGGCTTGAGATCGAGAGCTTCTCCCAGGACACTTCTCCCAGGACACTTCTCCCAGGACACTTCTCCCAGGACACTTCTCCCAGGACACACACAAGGTGTACGAAATCAAAGAGATGGATGCCTTCTTCTCATGGCCACAGGCGTCGCAGAAAAGCTGGGTCCCCCGTGCATTGACTCTGGCTTTCTTATTTCCAGAGAATGTTTCTTAAAGGCCTGCCTGGAAGAACATTGGCAGGAAAAGGTACATGCAACGCGTTTCGTACCTAGGTACCTTACCTAGGTAGGTAGGTAGGTACACGAGCACATGACGATGCACCTCTCAAACACCTTCTTTCTTGTTCGGTTCCTTCGCTTTGGTAGGTGTTGGCCCTGACTCAGCAGCCCTGCTCGCCGCCTCCACGTTGGACGGACGTTGGGTTCTAGTTGCTGCCACTTGCGCACGGACGAAGCCAGAGGCAGGAGAACAGTGCATGTACCTGCACATGGAAGGGGAAGGGTACATCAAGTGGGCATTGTCCGTCGACGCGTCTCACCAGAGGAGACGCGTTGTACAACTTGCATTACCGGCCTCCAGCTCGCTGCCACCGACCCCTTGCGTCTTGATCAAAGCGTGGTATGGACAGTTCGGCTTAGCCTGGTCAACCCTGACAAGATCCACATTCTGTTTAAGAGGGAGCTGGATGGTCAAACAACATCCTGCGAATCTCGCCTGTGCGAAGGCCACCTCCAAAGTCTCTGTGACCCGTCAGAGAATTGCTTCCATCTACCAACATGTCGACCCAGACATCGTCGGCGCCCCCCTTCCCTCAAGGATGTATTTCTGCCCGGGACATACTCGACGGCAAACCTAGGCCAGGCGATTTGGTAAACATTGTTGCGATGGTCAAGGATTGTCTTCTACCAATCCCTACAAACGGACAGGGTAAGCCTCCATTGCCCAGTACAGTCTAGGTCGGTAGCTGCTTCAGGCAATCTAACGCGATCCCTAGACTTCAAGTCTACCTTGAGGCTTTTTGACCTTTCTACCCAAGATGGATTCGAAGAACTGTCACTGGTGATTTTCCGCCCTGAACATCTCATGCCGCGTGTCGGCGCCGGGGATGTCATCATCATGCAAAGTGCCAAGCTTCAGCGATACAAGGGCGATTTGTCACTTGTCACTCATCATCGGACTTGTCTTCATGTTTATCAAGCTTCTCTCATTCCTCAATATCCTCAGTCGGCCAACTCGGCGCTGAAGCCTGACCCCAAAAACCCTACATCCAAGCCGCTTCTGCACGCCGAGGCTTTCGTGTCATGGTTGTACCACTCCATCAACAAAAGCAGCGTGCCGAGTGAGGCACAGTTTCGCGAGAGAGCCGAGCAATCGCTTAACCTGAAGGACAAGTTCAGTCGTCTAGAACATGTTCGGGAAGGGAAGTTCTATGATCTAGTCGTCCAGGTTGTGAGGGAACCTTATGATCTCGTGGATAAGGCTACCGTCTGGATCACGGACTACACTGAGAACGAGACATTTTTTCCCATGACTGCAGGCTGCGAGGAAAGCGACCCATACAACTACACACCCGCAAAAACGACTAATGCGAGCCAATCCTCTACCTCGGCTTTTCAGGGCCCCTACGGCAAGCGGTGTATGCAGTTGACATGTTTCGAAACGCATGCCGCTTTCGTCAAACGTTGGGTCCATCAAGGCGCCTATGTGCGACTCAAGAATATCCAGATCAAGTACGGACACAATGGCCAATACCTCGAAGGCTTCCTTCGCCAAGACCGGGAGGCTTCCTTGTTCAAGGTCCAGATCGAGGTTCTCGAGACCACCGACGCAGAAAACACCGACGTACACCTCAAGGAACTTATTCGACGGAAGCGGGATTACTTCAAGGGGAGGAAGAAGGACATCAAACTCGCCAGCGCAGGGGCGACCGGGAGCCAAAAGCGATCTGTTGCCGAGGAGTCCGGGGGCCAGAAAATGAATGCAAGAAAGAGAAGAGCTCTTCAGCGAGCCGCAATTTCGAGTAACGTGTCGCCAGACGGTGACAATGCGCAAGGACCAGTGGCTGATTTGAACGGATATGGTGAGCTGGTGTTCCTGTGGCTCCGTGCTTTTATGAAGCTGACACGAGCAATGACAGTAAGATGTGCGAACGAGGACCAACCCGCAAGCAACATCAAGAGTCTGATCAAGCGGGTCCATTATTCCACGACAAGCCACGGCACCGCAATGGACATCCAGTTACCCTTTACATGTCTGAAGTATCGCGTCAATGCCCGGGTGATCGACTTCCACCCACCGAGGCTTCTGGATTTCGCCTGTTCGCGCAAACGATCAGAGACAGACATCTTGTCTGACTGTAGCAGCTCCTCGTCAGACATGGATGAGGAGGACAACGGGGTTTTGAACAGTTCGGAGGTGGTTTGGGAGTGGCGCTTCGCGCTCTCGCTCCAGGAAGCCTCTGCGCCTGGGCAGCAAAAAGATGGCACACCCGAGACTGTCTGGGTCTTTGTAGACAACGGGGAAGCAGAGCACCTGACGGGCCTGACGGCCTGCGATCTCCGCAAACACCCTGATACCCTCAGTCAACTTCGCGAGAGGCTGTTCACTCTCTGGGGCAATCTGGAGGAGTTGAAATCCAAGCAGACAGCCAAGCCCAAGGCCAAAAAGCCGCCCCCCAAGCCGAACAACGGACCACCACCAGACAGTTCGGATGAAGAGGCCGTCAAAAAACGACGAGAAGCAGACACCACAGCGGGCGATGCCCACGGCTCTCCCAATCCGGGACTGGCCCCGCAAAATCGGCCTTTCAGCTGCTGCGTACGACAATACGGCGTGAGGGTTCCGGAGGAGGACCCTCAGAAAGCGAATGCTGGAGAGGGCAAGCGTTGGGAGCGGGCCTACGGGCTTTTTGGCACCAAAGTGCCCTATACATAGAACGGATTAAAGTATGGATTCTGAAACAGAGGATGCTGGCGATAGGAAGACTGGCCACACGACTGGAGGTATTCACCAACACGACGCTCACAACGGAACATAAGAAACCCCAGCGCGATGGGCATAATGGAAGCTTTTTTCGAGGCACAAGAGTAAGCAGGTCATGAAGCTTCTCCCAATATACAAACAGCACCGTAAAATCGCGACGTCCTGTAGCCTCAACGCCGGAAGCTGCAATCACCCGATCGCCCCCGCCCGCCCCCTTGGCGTCAGGGGCTATTCTCGTGACCCAGAAGAAGAAAGACAGAAACCGGTTCCCCCCTACATTTCCCATCCAGACCGAACACCACAAGAATGAAAGAACACTAGTCAGAGACGTGTGATGTCCGGGCGGGAGCTGAGGTCCTCATCCCCCCCACCCCCTTCTCGAAATATGGAAACATTTCAGGCTCAGTCGCCCAGCACGCTATCCACCTCGCTCTCCGCGTTCGCGGACCTGTCGTCGTCTCCTTTCTCGTCCTCGGGCTCGTCGTCCTCTGCCGATAACAGCTCCCGCCGGCGGAGATCTTCTCTTGACCCTTCCTCGGGCTCGGGCTCCTCTTCGAACGGGTCCTCGGGCTCCTCGTCATCGACGACAATCTCCTCGCTGAGCGCCGCCGTCGGCTTCTTGCTCGCCGGGCCAGCCTTCTTCGCCGCCGCCGCCGCCGTCGCCGCCGTCTTGGAGGCCTTGGATTTTCTGCCGTACAGCAGCGCGTCGACCTTGGCTTCGTCCAGGTACGCCACGACCTCGGCGTAGTTCTTGCCCAGCTTGGACTGGTTCCGCAGCAGGCGCCTGCGCAGCCTACCGGCGTTGGGGCCCGACTTGTCGATGACCTGGCGCGCGATGGCCATGACGAACTTGGCCGCGAGCTCGCAGAGCGAGCGCTCGGCCTTGAGCTCGTTCACGAAGCGCTGTTCCTTTGTGAGGCCCTCGTCTTCGTCCTCGTCGTCCGACTCGTCGTCGTCGATGGGGTCCTCGTCGTCGGCGGGCTCGTTGAGGACCCTCTTGGTTCGCCGGGCGTAGCTGCGCTCGATGCCGTCAAAGATAGAAATGAGCTCGGGCACGAGGGCGGGGACCACCTCGCCGACGGAATTGGCAAGCTTCTTGTACTTGGTAGGCTTGCCGGCGGCTTCGGTCCAGTCGCGCAGGGAGGCAAAGAGGGTGTACATGTCGCACAGGCTGCCGGTGGCGTAGAGTCGAATGTCGTCGATGATGACCCGCGAGGAGAGCGTGTTGATGAGGTTGTCTTGGAAGATGCCGCGGACCTTCTGTAGCTGGTCGACCTCTTCGGACGACATGTCGGATCCTGTCCGGACCAGCTTCTCGATGCGGTGCAGCTTCCACATGAAATAAAATTGGCAGGCCTTGATCGCCCATGACACGAGCTCGTCTTCCAACTCATCAATGTCGTCGTCAATGGCGACGAATGTTCCGCGATTCACTATGCTCGCGAGAATCTCGATAGGTGAGGCTTCCGAGTCGGCCGATCGTCCTTCCGCCTCCATGACGTCGACGCAGTCGGCGACGCTGGCCAGGTTGCTGATCTTGTTGACCACGGTCGAGAGATCTGTCAGATGCTCCGCCGTGAGGTCGCCGCGGTCGCCAATCTCGCAAGTCTTGTCAAAGTTTCTGAGCGAATTGATCGCATTCTCCCACAAGAGGGCCAGCTTGCTGTCGGTCAGCTCCTCCAACTCGTCGTGCTGGCGGGCGTGAGACAAGGCAGCTGTCGCCTCGGCGAGGACGTCCTTGTCGCCGTGCCTGTTGAACTGGATGCTGATCTCATCAAGAAGGTGCTCATAGCGGGAGGAATCCTGACGCAGCTGTTGGAAAACGTCGAGCTTCAGGGCATGCTCCATTCGCAGCACGATCTTGGCGGTGGAGGGATCGGCGCCGAACTTGTTGAGGAGGCGGGGAATCATGGCAGCCAGCTCCAGGGCAGTCTCTTCCTGCGCGTCCGAGTTCTCATGGCGTCCGGATCGCTTCGCGTCAACGGGCTGGCTCAGTGCGAGGGTCACGGCAGCGGCCATGACCTCGAGCAGCGCAGCCTCCTCCGAATCATCAGGGCGGATGAGGTTCTTGATGGCCGTCTGCGAGTTCTTCGCCTTTGATTTGGACTTGGAACTGACGGTGTGGTCATACAGCAGGTAGCCCGCCAACAGCTTCCAGTCTCGCACCACCTGTATCCTCTCGTAGAGGACGTGCGCGGCGACGGATATTCTCGTGGCGGGTGCTACGGCTCGCATGATATCGGCAGCGACGCTGGCGTCGTGGAAGTCGGGACTGCCCAGCTCGTTCTCGACCTGCGCATCGAATGCGACAATATTTTCGGCGAGCAACTTTATGTGAAGCCACTCTTCCTGCGGCGACTCATAGCCGAGCTCGTCGCTACCACCCAGAGCTTCTTCTATAGCGTCTTTGCCACCAAGCGCATTGCGCTGGTCGTCCAGGCTCGCGGAGACCAGGTTGTCGAAGAAGGTGGCAGCGGCCTTCCTGACGCGCAGCTCACTGTCGAAGATGAGCCTGCCGACGGCGTCAACCTCGTCGGGCTCGAGCATGCCGTCCTTCCGCAGCGTGTCGGCAACGCCAATGGCGGCAACGCGCACCGAGACCTCTGCGTCCTTGGTCGCGATCTCAATGAGACGTGGGCGGAACCTGTCGACGAAATGACCGAGCTGTTCGACGCCCGTCTTGAAGATGCGGCCGAGCTGCTTCAGCACCTCTTGACGCGTCGATGCGACGACATCGGACAACATCCACCCGAGGTAGCGCAGGTGGCCGGGTTCCATAAACACGGACGGCAGATCTTGCACCCAGATGCCAAGAGCCTCGGCGCATTCGGTCCTGATGCGGGGGTCGACGTCTCGGTATCTGTGAACAAAGGTGGTCTCGAAGAAATCCTTCATCTGGTCGTTGCAGATCGCGCGGTATGCATTGGCTTGCTCGAGGCTCTGTTGCATTTCAGCCACCTTGGTCTTGTTCTTCTGCCTCTGGCTCGCAGAGATTTGGTGCTCAATGGTGGAGATTCTCTTGTCGAGGAGAACGGCGGTATCTACAAGGCCAGACACAATGGACAAGATGGCGGTCGTCGCCGTGTGTCGGAACGGACGGAGTGGTGAGGAGGACATGGAGGCTATCCAGCGCGATATGTTCTCCATGAGCACGGGCTCCTTGTACAGGACTTCCGTCTCGTGCAGCGTCGTGACCAGCGCTTCAAAGAATTCTCCAAACAGCTCTCGGAAGGAGCGAATTCCCTTGGCACGAGAGATGAGGGGGTATTCGGTGATGCGTTCCTGCGAAGAAGAGGCGTGAGCACGGGGGGCACAGTCACGATGAGGAGCCAGGGAGACGCAGGCAGGACGAGACGCACCTCTTGATACAGTTCTTGCAATTCGCCCAGGCGGTTGTCTGAGTTATCGGGGTCGCGAATGTCGTCATCTGTGATTTTGTGCTCGCAGCCGCAGACCTGCAACACAAAGTTGACGAGGTCTCTGAGTGCGCCGGCGTCGTCCTCGCGGTATCTCTTGAACCAGTCATCGGCGGCGTCATCTGACGAGCGACCAGGCGTGAACACATCGGCTGTGGTTCCATGTCAGCCCAGGGGCCTTGGCAGTGGCCAGAGAGAAGGAGGAGGAGGAGGAGCAGCAGGAGGGGAGTGCCTTACCGTAGAGGTCATCCTGGCCGGGCTTGCCAAAGTCGGCAATGGCCACGGTCTTCTTGGGTCGCGTCGGCAGGCTCGAGGCTTTGGTGAGCGCGGCCGAGGGCAGGCCGTTGGTCTTGGGCTTCTTGGTGGCGCGTCCGTCGACGGCCGAGGGTTTGGCTGGTTTGGGCGCCGGCTTGCGTTGTTGCTGTTTCTGTTTGTCTTTGGGTCGGGGTGTGGGTTGGTCGTCGGTCGCGTCGCTCATGTCGCGGGCATCATCAGAGGCATCCTCTTCGGAGTTCCCATCATCGTCTTCGGAATTCTCATCATCGTGATCGGCGGTCCTCTTGCGCTTGGTGGTGAGGGCGGGCTCGGGGCTGAACTTCTCGGGCGCCCGCACGACGCGTCCAGAGCGGCGACGCGACGCGGACTCGGGCTCCGGGGAGGCTGTCGCGTTGTCCATGGTGATGGTGTGTGTCCAAACCGCTAGCAATGAAGATCTGTGTCTGTGTCGTTTGTCGCGACACTCGCGGAGAGGGGGGAGTGGGTGTCTTTCCGTGATGCGACGCAGAGCTGAGTGCGTGGGTGTCGCGTAATTGCCTTGAGAGCGGGCCAGATTATTTGGACTATCGTGGTTGAGGCGAATGGGTGGGCGCGGCAGCTGCTTGACAGTGAGTGGACGGGGGTGGGGGGCTTACGGCGACACCAGGCCCCTGGGCGCCAGGGGGAGGGGGGTCTGTGATGTATACAGTACGGGGATGGACACAGGCACAATGTACGCACTGTCGCTGGTGCGGTCGACCCCGCTGGCTCTGAACGGCAAGACCTGAGCACCACAGGTACCTAGGTACCTAGGTACCTGCTTGATCTTTTCGCTAGAGAAAGTTCATCAATAGCAACGGCCTCGTAGCGTGCCATTTGCTCGAGCCTACGCTTCCATGCACCTCACACCAGCCAGCCAACCTCTCTGCCGCCGGTGTGGCTGCCGCAGAGCCTCCACGGCCCATGGACTCGCCGTTCCCCAAATCATCGTCAGCGCCCGGTGAGGGCCGCATCGTCGCGCGGCTGCTGCCCAACGGCCAGCCCGGCTTCGAGTCGATCACGTACCAGTATCCGCTCAAGCTCATCTCGCCGTCCCTGACGGCCGGCGAGAAGAGCGCGCTCGTGTTCCTGCTGTCCTACGGCGGCGGGCTCGTCGGCGGCGACCACGTCCATCTCGAGATCCTCGTGCGGCCCGACGCGCGTCTGAGCATCGTCACGCAGGGCCACACGAAAATCTTCAAGGCCGCCTCCAAGACCATCGTCACGCGCCAGGCGCTGCGCGCCCGCATCGCGGCGCACGCCGGCCTCTGCCTGCTGCCGGACCCCGTGCAGCCCTTTGACGACAGCGTCTACGAGCAGACGCAGCTCTTCACCCTCGCCCCGACCGCCTCGCTGTGCCTCCTCGACTGGGTGACGCAGGGCCGCTCGGCGCGGGGCGAAGACTGGGGGTTCGCGCGGTGGAAGGGCCGCAACGAGATCTGGCTCGGCGGCGACGACGGCGACGGCGACGGCGACGGCGGCGAGATCCATGCTGCGGGCGCCGCGCGGCTGCTCGTCAGAGACACGGTCGTGCTCGACGAGCGGACGTCCGCGCTGACGGGCAGGCCTCTGCGCGGATCCATGCACGGCCACGGCGTCTTTGGGAGCCTCCTCTTGCGAGGGCCCCAGATGCAGAGGCTGGGTGAATTTTTCCTCGCCGAGTTTGGTCGTCTGCCCCGCCTCGGTGCGCGCGACTTCAGGACGGTGGAAGCTCGAGAAAAGGAGGAGACGGACCGGTCGGCCGAGGACTCGTGGCGTCTGCAGAGGCTCGCCATGGAAAAGCAGCACGCCGTCCTGTGGTCGGCCGCCAGTGTCCGGGGTTGCGTCGTCGTCAAGTTTGGCGCTGCCACGGTCGAGGGCGGCCGTGTATGGATTGCCCACATGTTGTCGAGGGAGGGAAGCATCACGGAGCTCTACGGAGACCAGGCCATGATTTGTTTGCGGTAGTTTTGCAGCGTAATGCATCAAGAATCATTGAACACGTCCCATTTTCTCATTCACTTCTTTAGTTACCCTCCTTCTCAGATGCATCGACAGCACCATGGGAGGGGCAGTCGGTACGTAGTATACGATGATGCTGATGGCCTCGTGCCCCACCACTGTGCTAATCCCTGTCCACAGCAGCGGCCCTTGCATCGGTCTGGCGCATGTCCAAAAGCTGCCCCGCGAATTCGATTTGAGCAAAGAATTAAACTGCACCTGCCATGATCGCCAACTTGTATTGTACAACAAGCGTGCCTTCCGACCCATACACCGATACAGGGGCCTCCAGGCACTTGACTATCACCGAAGAAAGAGCCAAAACCCTCGATTGACTCCTCCCAACGCCTCACAGCTGGCAGCTGGCAGCACCTTCGAAAAAAAAAAAAAAAAAAACCCCCCGAAACCTCGTCGCCTCCAACCCCCCACCCACAAGCTGCTCAGTCATGGCTCCGGAGGCCAGAGGTCGGGGTCGACCTCGTGGCCGCGCCGCCGGGGCTGCCACACGCGGTAGAGGCCGTGGCAGGGAGGGCGCCGCAGCCGGAGCCACGTCCGCCGAGAACACAGACACAGCCGCCGCCGCCGAAGCGACGACGCCAGCAGCAGCAGCAGCAGCACAACACCCCGTCGTCACCACAGCCCCAACCGACGGCAGCGTGCCCCCGTCGACCCGCGGCGAGACGGTCGCGAAGCCCACGCGAGGACCGCTGGCCGGGCGCCGACCGCGCAACATTCGCCGAGACGAGGCTTCGCGCGACGCCCTGGCGCG